CCTTGCCCGCGTTTCTCTTCTATTTTCATGTCTTTTAACGCGAGTGACGCTCGGGAGTTGCGAAAGGCGGCGGGCCGCCGCTTGGCCGCGGCTCTGGGGGCTCTGAGGGCTCGTTGGCAGCGGCCTCCGCGCCGGTAACCCCCCACCCCACCCCTCTTCCTCGGCAGCCGGCTCCCAAAATAAGCGCAAAGCTAAACGCCGCCCTTCGCTGGTGAGCACGCTGGGGACCTGTGTCCTGCTGTCTACTCAAGCAGAAAAGCAGTGAAACAGGTTTTGAAAAGCTTTGCCGTTACTGCTGCTGTTTAATTATTATTGAATAAATTTTAACACTAAATAGAACCCGAGAAGGAATGACCGCATGGCTCCTGTGTTCCCTCGCTTGCAGGTGGAAGAGCTGGCGCTGCAGTCTATGATCAGGGCCAGAGAGCAGAGCGCGACGGGCGCGTCCTCCAGCGCAGCGGAGGAGACTCGCAGAGTAAGGGCGAGGGACTGGCCCCCCCCCGGGGACGGGCGGGACAGGACCTGTTGGTGTGAGTGGCGGGGGGGGTCTGGGGGTGGTTTTAATTTCCAGTTCTTGGTGCTGACCTTGTTCCTGCTACTTCATGAACTGAAAAGCTCAGGAGTAACATCTGCCCGGCGTGTTACTGGTTTATGTTTCAAGGGTTTCACCTTTCCCCATCCTTGAAAGCAGTGTGTTGCTTCCAGGGAGGATGGGAAATAAAAACCCGCTTTGTATTAGCGGAGTTTCAGTTTGCTGTTTATTTAACGTGTCTAATCCTCTTGAAGATGCCAGGCTGGTTTACCCGACTGATCGTGGGGGTTGGAGGTACAGAGACCACCTGAACTTGAAATACATTGTCAGCCTAAAGGAGGTGAAACTTCTGTGGAGAGCTGGTGCTTGGCACCACAATGGGCGTTTGCAGCCAGCAGTTCTGGCACTGAGATGTATAAAAGAGGCTGTGACTGCACAGTGTTAATAGTGATTTGGGGAGCATTCAGAATTGCGGCTGGTTTTGATAAGTGTGCTATAAACTCTTACTGTGACAGGCTCTTGGGCAGATGGACAATGAGGCTGCTATCAATCAAACTGAATTGCACCTAAGCCTTCAAGGTCGTGAAGAGGAAGAGGAGGAAGAGGAGGAGGAATCTGATTCTTGAGAGAAAAAAGTCAGAGATGGGGCTTTAATACAGACTCAGGAATTTCTTCATTCATATAAAATTCACCAACTGATTTTCATTTTGTCTTGTATATGGATATATTATGAACTATATGACTCGCAAGGCTCTTGGGAGTCTAGGGGGGTTTAGCTTGAACATCAGTGTCACAAGCTTGGCACATCTTAAGATGTTAAAAAAAAAAAGAAAATTGGCTGCACAAATATGTAGCATAATCCGTTCCACATTTACAACCTAGTGTAGTTTACTACATCTTTATATGTGGATGGGAGAGGTCAGTAATCAAGTCAGACTAATTTAACATGCACTCTAAAAGCAATAATTCACCTCTTCTGATTTCCTGATGCTGAAAAATAAAACCAGGCCATGGAGGCTGGTTGCTGAACCAATGATTATATTATAACCTCATTTGCTTACACTTGAGAATTTACGACAGGTGGTGGGAAAAGGTGTGTCCAGGACTGTCTGCAGGCTTTCAGCTGCGGGGGCTCGGTGCCACACAGGTGACTTGTGCTCCCTGTGAGTGTGATGAGTCAAACAGAGGTGTCTGTGCCCTGGGAGATGCAGGTGCTGCACTGTTGACCAAATTCTGAGCGTAATGAGGCTGCTGCTCCTTGTACCTGCTGGTGCTCTCCCTAAGTACTGTTGGTCTGACTGTAACAGCAAAGGGTTTTCTACTTCTTGCTCTTTCAGTCAGCCTTTTAGTTGTCCACAAATTGTACAGTAAGAATTGGTCCCTCTTACTTGTCATAAGGAACTAATTTTTTTAGTGTTATTTTCTTTGACAATAACTTTGTAAGTCATTGCAATGTCACCTTCTTTCAAGTGATCTTTGAGGAGCAGTAGGAGGCGTTTAACAAGTTATAAAATGGAAAGTAATGCAAAGGCAAGTCCCCTCCCCAGTTTCTGTGCTGGTACAGTAACAGGCTCGTGCTGCTCTTACTGACAGTATGTTCTTTCTCCTCATGAAGCGCAGACAGCATGTGGTGCAGCTGGTTATTTTATCTATTCTTAAAGACTTGTTTTAAAGCACAGAAACCCAAACTCTGTTAAGCTGATGAAAAGCAAACAATAAAAGTGATATTTGGACTCAGCCTCTTTGTCAACTGTCTTACTAGGAAAATAAGTAAGTCAGTGATAGCCAGGGTGGTTCAGTATCTAATGGTGCTGCTGCTGCCCCTGGTGTCACTCAGAGAAAATAGAATAAACACTCTTCTGAAGTTTGCTTTTAAGAGCAGGTGGGGAATGTGACAAAGTGTCCCATGTCCTGGCTGTGGTCAGAATGTATGATGCAACTTGCCAGTGGTTGAGGACAGATAATTTATTTTGCTCTTAATTTGGTTTATAGCAATAGAAACAGTGCTGGAATGTAAATATAGCTTCAGCCTGTACTAAAAGCTAATTGGCTTTTGAGAATGAAGGGCCTGAGAACATGAGTGCAGAAAGTTCAGCAAAGCTTTCCCCAAGAACGACTGGCTAAAAAACCCCCAAAAAGTCAGAGCCAAAGATGTTACTTTGACAGTATGTGAGTGAAGAGCTGGTCTGTAAGGAACACAGTCTCCAAAGGGTAATTTCAACCACTGAAAAATGTTATTTGTCCCCAGCAGGGTCCAAAGGAGTTTTTGTGAATATAAATCCTGCTGCCTTTTGTGAATGAGGCCATTGCTTGTTTTTGGGTTAAAATAGACCAGTTCTATTGCATGTTGTAATAAAGGACTTTTCCTGGTGTCCTACTACATACAACTGTGTTCACAGTAGTCAAATGATTGCTGTCTGTGGAGCAAACAAAATGGGAGCTAAATTTCTAAAAATTTGCCTTTCACCAGATACTAAAAGGTACAATTGTAGTTTTTCTGTGTTTAGTGTCTATAATTAACACATAAAGCTCAGGAGAGGTTTCAGACCCTACACAGCCTTGTCCCTACTACCACCAGTCACCGCTAGGTGAGGCAGAGCTGGAGGCCTGGACTTGTCCATGAGCCATCTCTGCCTGTTAGAGGGGGATAGAAGAGCCCTCAGCCCACTGACCATCGATGCTGTCAGCAGAGGGGAAGTTCATGTCCCGAATGGTTTGGATTCCTTTTAGGAAAGAACTTCAGCCATTTCCTTTGTCTGAAACATCCTTTCAAGGAGTTGAATGTTTACAGTGCTGCTCAGCATGGCTCTAAGAGAGCAAGACTGCACTGAAGACACGTAGCTGTACCCCCCCCCTCACGCTGTTCTGTCATACAGCAACAAGCTTGCACTGTAGCTGGCAGAAGCTGAACTTCTGAAGAAAAATAACCCGAGGAAGTGAGTTAAGAACACTGCCCTTGGAAGGGGGGAAGATGTGACACCCTTCCTGCACTCCATGCCACACCATGGGTTTGCCTGAGGAAGCGCCTGCCACCCCCCAGCCAGGGGATCCAGGACTGACTGAACATCAGGCACAGCACAAGTTGTGTGAGCACTACACCCCAGAAGCCCTGTGCTCTGCACTCAGCCTTCCCCCTATACAGCCTGAACTAGCTCCAGGTCCATTTCACACATTGTCATTTTTCACGTGCAATCCTGTACATCTTGAAACTTGGGATGCTGCAGGGTTGTGGAAAAACATACATAAAAAGGGTGTAAAGCAGCAATGACTTCAGATTAAGGCTTTAAGTTTTGAGTTTTAAAAAAAATCTTCAAGAAGTTACTTGATAATATATTTATTAAGAGAATCCATTGCTAAACATCTGAGAGAATAAAACAATAGAGGATCTTCATACACTTTATAGACACTAAACACAGTTGTCATGAATCTTCAGGTCAAGAGAAAGCAAATTGCCTGGATCTTGGTCTTGGTTCTGTAGGACACTTTGAAGAGCTAACTTTTAAAAATCAATTAGAAAGACAAACGTCACTAAATCCAAGTATGATGATATGTTTTAAAAATAAATATAGAAATATGAACAAGTCTACAATTAGAATATTGCCCTGTACATTCCAAGAAATGCAGAGCTCTTGCCTTCTTTACCTGGAAAGAGAGATCTCTAAACAACAGCAAAACTGGAACCATTAGGCCTAACTTTCAGATACAGTTTGGCAGCAGCAAAAGCATGCTTGACAGATACAGTTTTGGAGCATCCCTAACCCTTTCTGCGTGGGAGATTAGGTAAGCATGATTGAAGTACCAACGATTTACAAAGAATCTTGATAAAGTTCAAACAAGCTGGGGGTAAACACCCCCAGTGATATTTTCATTAAGAAAGAATATCCATAATCACTTAAAATCAGCAAGCACTGTAACTTAAACATCTTACATTTTGGTCAGTGAACGAATGTAATCCAATACAATACCAATTAGTTTATGACAAAATTTAAGACCATTTGGCACATGCTATAAAGACATTCTTCCTTAAGAGGTGAAATACATGTTTGAACAGGTACAAGCTGAGGAAATAGGACCAAAATAGCATTGCTGTTAACAGATGTACAGTGCAGGATTTGCTCTTCCACCTTCAGACTCCAGCAGCATGCGTGGGTGTACTCGGTTGGTTAAGGCCTATGGTTGAACAAAGCCACCCCGCAAAATCCACCTCCTCCGCTTCAGATCTCTTAATGAAAGCATGAATCTGAGCAGAGAAGAATATCATTATTCAAGCACTCAATCTGTTGAATAGTAATTTCAAGTAACATGAAATACAGTAAATCCAGTTCACTTGCAGTATTCAAGCTAGCTGTAAAACTTGGCAAGCCACAGGAAGTGACCAGGAGAGCTTTTCTGCAGGATTATGGAAATAACCAGCACATGAAATGTCCACCCTGCAATGTATTCCAGAGGAATACTGCCTCCACAGTGCCTGTTGCAGAGCGCTTACACCACAGTATGTGATAAGGATGTGACTCAGCCACTTGAGATGATACTCTGGAGAATGTCTGCCTGGACACAGAAAGGGGTTTTGTAATAGAAAGAGCCTGATTGCATTTTGCACCCTCATTGTCCAGCAGGATCAGGGCAGGGAAAACTTTATTTTCTGCAGCAGAACTTAAGTCCTAGTATTACACTTAATGCCATGAAAAGATCCACTGAAACTGGTAAGATCATTTCATGGAAAAAAAAAAAAAAAGCAGGATGTATTTCTGTGTAGTAGTTCTACAGATCTTGCAAGACAAAGCTGATGAAGAAAAACAGAGGCAAATGTTTTTCACAACAGATAATAAAAATAAATGTCTTAACTGTAGGTATGTGGAATTTTGTCCTCTCATCTTCCCCTGTATACTCTATTATTGACTAACAAACCCAAGAAAGAGAAAATTCTTTTGATGATAATTTAATTAGGTCACATGCTCAGTGTAATTATCAAATGGAAGACTCTGAAAACCACCAGTTTTGGTCTCCTTGACAGGCCCTGTTCTAGGAGTGTGTGAAACCCACAGCCCCTTGATCCCGGGATCAGAAAAGCAGCCCCTCCTCCAACTGTCTGAGCTGTTTTCCTCAAGGGCCACAAACTACACTCCAAGCCATATGCTCTGAACCTCATCTCAGGTCAGCTGAGGAATCCAACCTGCATGGAGGAGTGCTCCTAGTTCAAGTTAAGAACTTTCACTTACCATCAGCTGCTTCAAATCAGCTCTCTCAGCAGGATTTTTAATTAAACTAGGAAAACAGAAAGCATTACACAAGTTACACGCTGTTATATTTTAAAATGAAGATCAAGTTATATCACGTTGGTGTACTGCTTTGGCCTGAAGAAGCCACCACTCTAGATGAAAGCATTAGGGAATGTAGTGCCTCTAACACACAGATAAGGGTCTGTAAGCAATTCCCTTCTGTAGGTGTCACAGGTACAATTTTAGGTATGAAATCCTGAGCTGTCTGATACTGTTCAGTGGGAGCAGGAGTCTAACACCAGGCTGGAGAGATCAAATTCCCATTTAAACAAAAATTCAACAATATGAACCACTTCATCCCTCAAGTTTCTTTTACCCAAGTCTTTTCAAGGTCAGTATCAAGTACAGCTATTGCATTACTGTGCTTCCTTTTGGAAACAGTAAATACATATACGTAGCTTTTAATAAACTTTCTGAACTGTGATGAACTGCCTCCCTTAGCACTGAATATATTGCTTTGGTGATGGTATCACTGAAGCACAATTGGAAAATTAAATAAACAGGGAGAATGACTACTGTGATAAGAGATACTAGTTCAGTGAAGCATCAGGAAAGAAAAAAACATCTGGAATCTGCAAGACTTAGGCATCATATGGAACAGTCACTGCGGAATGCCGTGAGGGCTGCCCTGAAAAGGATTCTCCTTTAGAAGTGTGCTGCGTGCTGTCCATGAGTACTGTGGTGTCTTCAGTGCTGAGAAAGTACTGATCTCAGTTACCTACAGAAGCAGAAATCGTTCCCCTCTTCCCATCTCTCAGCTTTGGGGTTCTCTTTGGACGCATATGCTGTCAAGCTGGTGCCCGTAAAATGAGCTTTAGGCACATTAACAGTCGGAGAAACAGGAATCTGCTAATTGAAATTACTTTATATTTGCCATGGCCTACAAGTAGGGACTGATTGCCAAGTTACTGACACAGTAAGACAGCAGGGCTGATCCCAAATGTGCCCCTTTGCAGCTTAGCCATTGCAAAAATACTCACCATTTGTTGACAAAATCTTGAAATTCAGAACCAAAAACACCACTGGGCAGTTTTGGAGGTGGCTAAAAAAAATAATAATAAAAAAAAATAATCAGCAGTCATTCAGCATAACTAATACATGATGATGCACAACCCACCCAGAGATCTACCAGTTTTATGTCCTGTATTTGGGTAAAGCTGTAAAGCCCTGGCACTACCCAGGCCTTTCAAAGCTAAGCTCTGAACTAAATGTCAGACAGACTTCAGGTTCCATGCACATGAATAAAGGATGTGCCCTCTTTGATTTATAAAATTAGGCGCTGAGTTTATCACCAACTCGGAACTTTTGGTTCTTACTCACACAGCTGCTGGATTTCAGGAATTTTAGTAATAAATCAGACAAGAGATGGTTTTGGTGTTTCCCCCCCCCACCCATACACACACCTGAATGTGGTTAACACAGCCTTGAACTGTCATTAAAGAAGGCTCAAAGCAGCTGG